TTTGTATATGCGTGTTACAAGGAGAAAGAGTAAAGCAGTAGAGGAGGGATGAAACATATCTTAAAGGTTAAAGGATAACTAAGAACATGACAGCTCAAACTATAATTATCTCCGTACTCTATCTGAACCCTGACACTCCTGTCACAAACCCAACCTTCAAATATGCTTGAATCAAGCAATACATACCAGCAAGGTATTGTACTTGAAAAGTGTTTGATTACTCGCATACAGTAACAATCTCACTCTTGTGGCCTTACTCTTGAAACTCGATTTGTATAAATATATCTGTGAGGACTTATTGAAAGGTTTGAATGTGAGTATTGAGAGACCGGATTGGTTTAATAGTTCATGGTTTGACGAACTCTGTATGAGTTTGGTAGAATTGAACGAATTCTCACAATTGATCCTGGGTAGTTAAGGTCACAGAAGAGTGGTGAGTGTAATATCATAAGTTTGCGTCTACACATGTCTGATGTCTAGTGAAGAATAGCTGGACACTGGTCACCAGTATTTACTCCGGTGTTATACTCCATTAAACCCTTGAATACCAGCATTAGGAGATATTAGATGAGAAGATAGGAAGGGTTCCGCACCTGCAATCATCATTCTCTTCCTCCCTCCTTATCCTGAACTCATAATTTTTTCTCCTCCCTACTTCCTTATCCTTCATTCATCTTTATCCTCCTCTCTCCTTTCTTATTCAAGCAATCATCCTTCTCCTCCTCACTCCTTCCTTATCCTTCACTCATCCATCTTCTCCAAACGTCAATGTTTTATGTCCAACTGTTTATGTAAAACTAGGATGTTTTATGTCCTAAACCAGCACTAAACTTATATTAGATTTAAAACCAACGTAAAAAGAAAATGTGTACACACATAAAAACTGAAATAGTCTTCCTAAAATAATTTCCAGGGAGTTTGGTTTTAAATTGAAAATTTTGTAAATTAAATGTTTTGATGTTTTGTGAGCAGGTGTCAGAGGACTGGTTGGAATTCCATCAGGTTGGTTGAGAAGCCAGGTTGGGTTACCAGCTCTAGGTACATAATTAACCACGGGAGAAGGGGGGGGGAGGTTGATCAGGTTCCGGTCAATCTACTAAGAAATTCCATTTCCGGTTTGTATGACGGTGTGACCCCACTTCCTTATCCTGCACTCATCCTTCTCCTCCTCTCTCCTTCCTTATCCTGCACTCATCCTTCTCCTCACTCCTTTCTTATCCTACACTCATCCTTCTTCACTCATTCTTCTCCTGTCTTTCTCTCATCCTTCACTAATCCTTCTACTATTCCTCCTCCGCCTCGACACCTTCTCCTCTAGTACATATATACTTCTAATATTTAAACCATTACAAATCTAAAAACTAACATTGTTTAACGAGGTTGAACCTTGTAATTTCCAGCTCGATAATTCAAATTAGAACCAATTAATGGATAGAACAGAGGCTGCCTTCAATTATCAACATATGATACAAAATTTGAACTTGTTTTTATACAGCCTTTGTTGGAGAGATAGATAGATAGACGTTTTATCCTATTCTTATCTTTTCAAACGATAAGATCATAATTATCAAAATATGTTATGAGTATCCTGGAGTATCCAGGAGTACCCAGGAGCATCCAGGAGTATGCAGGAGTACCCAGGAATATCCAGGAGTATCCAGGAGTATCCAACTAAAGTATAGTAGATAGGGAGGGGGCGGGGAATAGAGTAGAAGGGGGGAGGAGATAGGGAGGGGTATATAGTAGTGGAGAGAGGGGGGGAGTATTAGAAGAGATGAAGATGGGGGTAGAGTAGAGGGGAAGAGGGAACAGAAGAGTTGATGGGGAAGAGGAAATAGAAGAGGGATAGAAGATATATGGAGGTGAAATAAAAATAACTTGTACGGAAAAGCTGTTTTTCTTTGATTAAGAATGAATTATGTAAATTATTGACTAATTTTAATCATATTAAAGAATCTAAATTATCTCTGCAGGTTGTTAATTTTAAACACGCTTTCTAATCTTTCAAATCTTCTTATCCCTCCCCTTCCCCTTAGGTCTCCTACTTGGACATCCCCCCCCCCCCTTCAGCCCCCATTCTCCATCCCTATTTTGGTTTGCGCTTTCCTTATTACAGAGTTTAAATCCACTTGAATTGAGTTTAACTGGTATAGTTGATGAAGAAACACCAGTTGAATAAACATCTAAAATCTGTGATAAGAGAAAAGCAAACAAACCATTAACAATGTTCAACATATGGCAGAAACCTTTATTTAAAAAGTAATTTTTTGGTTTCTCTAAACTCGGGGCATGTTCATCGTATGTATCTAGTTCTCTGAACCCCGTACTCCATGTTCTAAGATGTATCCTTCTCCGAACCCTGTACTCCATGTGCTTAGATATATCCTTTTCCGAACCCTGTACTCCATGTGCTTAGATATATCCTTTTCCGAACCCTGTACTCCATGTGCTTAGATATATCCTTTTCCGAACCCTGTACTCCATGTGCTTAGATATATACTTCTCCGAACCCTGTACTCAATCTATCAAGTTGTGTCCTTCTTCGAACCCTGCACTCCGTGTTCCAAGATATATCCTTCTCCGAACCCTGAATTCCATGTACCAAGATATATCCTTATCCGAACCCTGTTCTCCATGTACCAAGATATATCCTTATCCGAGTACTTCATGTACCAAGATAAATCCCTATCCGAACCCTGTACTCCATGTACCAAGATATATCCTTATCCGAGTACCTCATGTACCAAGATATATCCTAGTCCAAACCCTGTACTCCATCTACCAAGATATATCCTCATCCGAACCCTGTGCTCCATTTATCAAGATATATCCCTATCCGAACCCTGTACTCCATGTACCAAGATATATCCTTATCTGAGTACCTCATGTACCAAGATATATCCTAATCCGAACCCTGTACTCCATGTACCAAGATATATCCTCATCCGAACCCTGTGCTCCATTTATCCAGAAATATCCTTCTCCGAAACTTGTTCTCCATGTATCAAGATATATCCTTCTCCCTAAACAATTACAATGATAGTTTTGTATATTCCAATTTTACGAGAATCACTGATTGAGTTGATCATATCCATAAAATCAAATTGGAGCAATTCTCCCGTTTACTCCTTTCTGCCAATTTCCTCCAGCAAGATCCGTATGTTTGTATGTATATTTTATCCCTTGACGCATATGCATATACGTATATTTGGAATGAACTTAATGTCCCCCACCTCGACCCTCATTTCTAAAACTATAAATCCTAAATTTAAAACAGTTCTACACGGTTAAAACAATACTAAACAATAGCAGGGTACATCACTAATGGGTTCATTCGCCCCCCTCTCTCCCGCCAGAAATTCTTTTGTAATCCGACGCATTTTAATCACGTGACGCAACTCAGCGTCACGTACTTAATCCTTCCGTCTGACGCTAGTTTTGCGTATAGAAAGATACGCCGGTACTTTCACCGCCTCTGAGGCTCTCTCTCTCGAGGACTTTCTAACTTTTCACCCCCCAAGACCCACTAGAGTTATGTCAGTTTTCATCCGGAGCTTGTGCGGAGTGGTAATACATATTCCCCTTCCGATTCACACTGCGTAGACGCTAGAGTTGTCGATATGGCGATACCATTCTCCAGACCTGTTTACAACAGGAGAGTTAGACCTCTTCCTCCTGTTACCAGTATCCACAGACAGGTTTGTAATTAGAATATTTTGACGTTTTTTTCTACAAAACTTACTTATTTCTATGTTGTTCGAGCAGAAATTATTTTTTTGAATGCAAAATTACTGTTATTTTATTTTCAGGTTGGATATGAGGATCTGAACCCGTCCTCCAGAAATTTCCTGATACTCCTGGTAGAAATTCAGAGGATCCTGCTTGCAATCAACTCCGAGAATGCTCCAGGAGCTGTTGAGAGTAGTGTTGTGAGTGTAAAGGAGGAGGAGGAGGAGGAGGAGAGGGTTGTGTATGAAGAAACTGCAGTAAATGTGAAATGTGAATCTGTATCGGGTCTCATGTCTCAGGATTCAAGTGTGAATAGTGACGTTCTCCATTCACTCAATTCATACCCTGTAGATGTGAAACTGAACCCCCTCCCTGATCTAGTTCCACTCAGAGAGCAGGAACTAAACACTTATCGTGTTGATGAATCTAGTCAGATCAAGATTAACCTACCAGATCTTGTGCCCAGGACGGATCTTGTAGATCTATCCGACTCATCCAACCCTAAAACACAGAGCCCCTGCCAAGGAGTAATTTCCTTCCCTGATATAGTCATGTGCTCAGTACCTAGCAGATCAAAGTCAAACCTAACCTTGTCAGAGTTTCTAGAACCCAGAGTAGAAAGACAGATAACCAACTCCAGGATAGAAGCTAAACACGAAACCATAGAGTTGGAAGCACCAGGCACTCAGCTCCAACAATCCTGGAAAGAAACAGGTCGGTCCCTCAAACAGATTGCAGATGGTTTCACATTCGGAGCAAACTCATCCTCTTCATCCAACCCAGCTGCTCAGGTGGGACGGTTTCTCCGGCAGGTTGTGCGAACTAGTTCTTTGGAGCAGGTGTACTTGGATCAGAGAACTGAGGATGAACCTGACTCAAGATCTGAGAGTTCTACTTCCCTCAACATGTTTGGAGATTTGTCAGTATCCCTTCTCTTCAAGTTTGCATTATATCTCGCCCTGAAAAAATTGCATAATGTACTATAAAATTAAATAAAATGTAAATAATCAAATATTTAAATTTTATTATTGTTTTTGTTGGTTTATCGAGCTGTGTAGGGTGAGTGTAAGAGATAGAGAGAACTAATGTTTATTTATTGAANGGGGGGAGTTAGAGTAGAGAAAGATAAATATGGAGTTATGTATTCCAACTTTTGCTTTCAGTTCTTTTTAAAACATTTTTTTGATAAAAAGAATTAAAATTCAGCAAATTAGACAACAACAACTTAGAGTTCTAATACAGGGTGTCCCAATAAACATTGGAATTGAGTGACGAATTCTAGAGAGCGTAGCAATCATACGATCTTGTCTGCTAGAGTTCATTTTATGAAAAAGTAAAAGGCTGTAATGATGTGTCTTCAATGTATGTATCTGCAAGATTAACAGTGAAGACGGACAAATTTAAATTTTTTGTCTACAGGAATTTTGTTTGTTTTATTGAGTTCAACCGTTTGCAATCATGGCATATACAAACGAACTTTCTCATTAGGACCATTAGACGTACTACTACTAAAAATCAATAATTGTTAAAAAAGATGTTCTCAAAATCGTCGCTCAATTTCCATGTTTACTGTAATTTATTGGGACACTCTGTTGAAATTTAAGACTGAGATTTTAATAAAATCACCCCTCCATTAAACATATTAGAACACAAAATTGTTCTAAACGTTCTATACAGGGTTACCCAAAAAGGATTAGACTGAAAAGACGACCTGAAACATGAAATGTGATAATTACAAGGTTAAATTTTAAGTTGAATATTCTCTTTTAATGGCTTAACATGGCAAGGCAACGAAAGAATCCAGTTTATAGTTGCAGAGAATCCTAATAAGAATATAGACAGTATAAATTCTGTACAGTCGTCTCTGAAGTCTCATCTGCGGGTACTCCTGTAGCTTGGACCATCATTAGTTTATATATATTTATATAGATTTTATAACATAAACTTATAAAATACAGTGGTTGCCAGGACATAATTCTTATTTTTCTTTTTAATATGATTTGTATTTGAACTATCTTTTAAAAGTTCCACAAACAATTTCTTTTCCTTGATACCACTGTATGATTCATATGATTGTCCAATTATGCTGATTTTGACTAAATGATTTGAAATTACGGAAATCGAATTTGGCGGCAAATAGAAGAGGTTGCGCGAATTTAGACAATACAGAAAGAGGTTTCGTGATTTTATAAATACATTAGAGGTTGTGTGAATATTGTAATGAAAAACATATGACCAAACATGAAATTAATTGCCTATTAAATTACCATGGTAAATATATTGCACCAATCTGTTTTTTGGACCTAAAAGATCAAACAGTTTCCAAATTTTTAAAACAAAAACAAGTGCAGTTGCACACAGTTATAACTGCACATACGGCCTACAGGGGCGTAAATAAGAATTCGACTGTACAGTTTTTTAATATTGCGCGCCAAATTTTTTTACCCCCCCCCATAGAGTTATTTTTACCCCCACCCTAGAAAAATATCATGATATATATCACATTATTGGTTTTAGTTGGGTTTGCATTTTCCACTCATTTACAAATTCCATCAAATAAAGGCAATTTCAATTCATTTCCTACCTTTCAGCTTTCACCTTGTTTTATATCCTTCATTATATTCATTCATTTTACATTAACTACAAAGATCTGCAAAAAAACTGAATTTATTTTAAGTAACATAAAAAATAGTTTTACTCTAAGGGGAAAAAGATATTGTCTTTGTTTATATTCTAATTTCTAAAATTTTCTTGTCGTCAATGTACGTACAGTGAAACCCTTAATAACGAATACATCGGAAGAATTTATCAGATGTCGTCTTGACAATTTTTCAATGAGTTTTATACTATATTACGTAAATTTCAGTATTTGCGAAAATAAATAAATAACCATGAATATGCGGGAACAGTTTTAAAGAGTTACATATAATTATTTAATTAAAAAACTAAATATCTGCAACATTCCATTATCAGAAAGTGAAGAATACGACATTTGATTAATTCTTTCGATGTATTTGTTATTAAGGGTTTCACTGTATATATGTTAATATCACTATATTAAAAGAGAAATGTCTTACTTTTTAAAATTTAATTCTTAATAATCTTGATCTTTTAACAATTTACCCCCCCCCCTGGATTTGACATAAAGTGCAAGTACGCTACTGCATAAAAAACTCGATTTTTGGGTAAAATTTATTTTTGTTACTTTGTTAAAGTTGATTGGGTTAGATTATCTACGCGAAGCGCCAAACATTTTTTTTACATTTTTCCTTTTAATGGTAATCATTGACATGTAGAATGAGGATCAAGTTACTAAACGGGGATGTTTGTGTCCACAAGATTCTAGGGGGGGGGGGGGTAAGTGACTCCAATTACCCCCCTTATTTACGCCGCTTTATATAGATACATGTTACTGCAATTACGTATAGGAAAATTTATTAGCGCCATATGTGCACGAAAAAAATGCCCCAATATTGCACGAAAAAAATGCCCAAATTCCAAAAATTAGATATTAATAGGCAACTCTATTTATCCTTTTTACAGTAATAAACAGAAAACTCTGTAATAGGTAGACGACTGTGAAGTGTAAACAGACCCATTTTATTTAATTAGTAATTTTTTAATTTTTTGTCTAGTAATAGTACTATTTGCGTTGTATCAACCTCTGCAAATACACTTAAGTTTTGCTATAAAGTCGTCATCCTATTTCAAAGTTTTCTGGTTATCACTGTTATATTTTTAAAACAAAAATTTAACAGAACCATGAACATTTTAATGGTGCTCCGCGTAAACAAACATAACTTCTGTAAAAAATAATTTCAATAAAGAAAAGAAAAATTAGACATAAAAAGGGAAGTTTTCATCATTTTTAATTCTTTTAAGTTTTACCCAAAAATTCAACAAATAAAACCCATAAAAATTGGTTTGATACTAACTAACAAACTAACATTACTTCTGTAGGAAAAAATTATTTTTGTTGAAATAGGGGAAATCAAATCAAATCTATTCCTTGATATCAAAAGGCATGTTTTCATCCTTTTTATTACAATGCTAAAAAAAATTCAGCAAACAAAACCCTTCACATTTTGTTTCTGCTCTGTGCAAACATATCTAATTTCTGGTTGAAAAGATTATTTTTGAAAGGGGGAGAGATTTTACAAGAATAGACAGGGGCGTAGATAAGGATTCTGTAGGGGGGGGGGGGGGTAAAAACTTTTAATTTGGCGCGCGAAGCACGCCTAAAGTGTTTTTACCACCCTAGAAAAATATCATAATGTATATCAAATTATTGGTTTTAATTGGGTTTGATTTGCATTTTCCACTCATTTCTGGGATTTACAAACACAATCTAATAAATTGGCTTCATTACATACCTTTCAGCTTTCACATTGTTTTATAACCTTCATTATTCATTTTACATTAACTACAAAGATCTGTAAGAAAACTGAATTTATTTTATTTTAAAGTAATATAAAAAATAATAGTTTTACTCTAAGAGGAAAAAAGATGTTACTTTTTTAATCTTTAGAAAAGCTACTCTGCAAAACTATAGGACTTAAATTAGTACTTGGTATTGGTTGGAATCTGCCCTAGTCTCCTAAAGAACGCTTTTTGGACCCCCCCCCATATGTTACAGAAGTAATTTTTAAAAAAAGTACAAAATTTACAAAAACGTTCTCTAGGACGGAAACAAGGGTTCGATTTGTTTTATATTTATTGCACAATAAAATTTTAAAACTAGGCATAAAAAATAAGCATGTTCAGGGTCTAAGCTGGCTCAATGAAACATATAATGTGCATCACCTTTTCCAAATGAAAGAATCTACGAAATAAATTTACTAATTCTGTTTTTTTTATGAAGATTGAGGAAGTTAGATAAGTTCTTTGATGACTTGACCTACAAAAATATTATAAACCTTTACCATAATTCATAATAGGGTCCGTCCTAGTATACGATTTTTGGATCCCGCTCCCCCCCCCCTCCACACAACTGTTCGGTCTTCCATGCTACAACAATACATTACAACAATTCCAGCCTAAATTGGTGTTGTTGAATTGTGATTTTCACGAATCTGGTAACAACACGCAAGAAATATATAAATTCCGAACATTTATATTTAATATATATGTTGATATGAAATTATGATGATTCCTTTCTATTTCTCAATCAATTAACTCTCTTAAAATATGGCATATTTTTTAAAGCATTTTTACCATGAAAAATAACGCACAATTAGGACTGGACAAAGTTTCGTTAACAAAACTGAGGTTTTTAAAAATTAACAGAAAAGCCCGAACAGCAAAAACCGTTAATTTTCAAACTGTTAACGAAACGGATTAGCCGTTTTTTTAAAAAAGATTAACGGTTGAAAACGAAACAGATTTTTTTTAAAACGGTGAATTTCGTTGTTTTTCTGCTTTAATTTGATGTTTTCAAATGTTGTCTTCTGTGTTTACAACCGTTTATGAAATCAAAAACTGTTAACAAATGTTACAGATTTCATAAACTGTTAAGGGCTGTGCAGTTAATGATTTCATTAACCATTAACAAAAATTTGTTTTATATTTAGTTTAAAATTATAATTAGCTTTATATTCTTAAAATCCAAATTCAACCCCCCCCCCACACAAGCTTCCTCCATCTCCTTTAATTCTTATCTCCTGTGATTCATTACAAGCTTCTTGAGAACTAAAACTAAAAACTGATAAGGATGTTTTCGCTTATTAACTAAAGCAGTCTATTCTTATAGTTGAAATTATTACATTGATAAACATGTGAAATATAAGTCAATAATAATGAGTGATGAACCGGCTAATTTACAGACCTGTACGTTTGGAGGTGGTGATGAATCCTCACTTACTGCTCTTGAGGCAGCGCAGAGATTTACGAATTTATATTTATCCAAGGATCTGACCTCAATAAGAGTACAAGTTCCAGAGGAGAAAATTAACTATGGACTTTCTACTGATGTTCCAGCAGGTTTGAGTGAAAGTGAATGGAATGCTAAAGCTGATGAAATACAAGATGTAAAGGATAAAGAAGGATTTTAAAAGTACTGGTCTCAATACCAAGGCGGAGCCAGTGAGTTGGAGATATGGAATTACATTTGCAAGATTCCGTTGTCAATCCCATTAGGCCTCTTCCACAATTTTAACCTTCGCATGTTTCGACTTTTTACAGGTATGATTTGGCATACTTATTTTATCTTTTATAATTGAGATTGAATATGTAACGGTGAAAGCAAATTAGCACTTATCTACAATACTAAAGTTCTTAAAGTAGTTGCATGTTGTATGTCGACGCCACTAGCTAATATTTTAAATCTTTCTTTTGAAACTGGAATTATACCTACTAAACTTAAAGTATCTCGGACAGTTCCTGTATTTAAAGCTTGCTCTCCTGATAACTTAAACAATTATAGACAGATATCTTGCTTGCCTGTTATGTCTAAAATCCTAGAAAAAATTGTAAGCAATACATTTATCATTATCTAGTAAATAATAACTTATTATACGACCTTCAGTTCGGGTTTCAACCGGGAAAATCGACTGTACATCATTCATATCAATAATTTTATTGCAAATGCTTTCAAAAATAATGAAGTTGTAATTGCTGTTTTTATAGATCTTAAAAAATATTTTGACTTGGTGGACCATTCTATTCTCCTGAAAAGTTGAAAAAATTAGGCATTAAAAGGAACTGCACTGATATGGTTTAGAAATTATCTTAAGGATTGTTAACAGTTTGTTATGGTAAATGGGGTCTTATCTGATTTCTTTGCAATAATTAATATTTCTGTTTAACAAGGATCAATTTTGGGACCCCTACTTTTCCTTTGTTTCATAAATGACATGCACATGTCTATTAAACTTATTAATTTTCATTTTGCTGATGACACGACTGGGTTAGCAAAAGGCTCTTCTTTAGATGAATTAATAAATTTTGTAAACTTAGAAATCCAAAAATTAGGCGTATGGCTACGATCAAATAAGCTGGCAATAAATACTGATTTTTCATCTCAAAAGTAAAAAGGTTTTTTTCTAAGATAAACTTCATGTTTAATAACACTGATATTGATGCTGTCCAAGACCAAAGATTTATTTACCCCATTGAGAAAATTACCAATGAAACCTGTCCTAATCCTGCTTTTTAAATACTCGGAGTCTGGCTTGATGAAAACTTAACTTTTCTCTACAGCCCTTTTCTCTTAAAAAAGTATGTCACATTTTGTCCTTAAATGCACTAAAATCTGTCTACTATACCACCTGATACACCCCCATTTCCTATATTATCTCCCAGTTTACAGTTCTTCAAGTTTAGAAACATTAACAATGTGCTCCAACTCCAAAAGCGATGTGTTTGTACAACCTAAGGATCTAAATATAATTTCCACACTGATCCAATTTTTTATTCCTTAAAAATTCTCCCACTTCCTTACCTTATTACTCAACAAATTTTAAATTTTTTGCACTCAATCGTATATGATTATGCCCCAGTTTCCTTGCTAGGTGAGTTTCTAATTAAGCAATTAAATCGTGAATATCAGCTACGAAACAATGAAGATTTTTAAATACCTAGAATAAACTGAGAGTCTATCAAACGATTTCCATTCTATAAATATCCAACTCTTTGGAATGATCTTAGTCCTTAGCTTAAGTCTTTAAATAGAAAGAATGAATTCAAATATAAAATTAAGTCATCTTTTCTGGAAAAATGATAAGACTCCAAATGAAATAAACTTTTCTGCTATGTATGTTCCTCGGCTAATATTAATTGATCACTTGTTGAATTTCCTCTTTTTCATCATTTTTTCTTGTGTTCAAAGATGATCCTTTGAAATTTTGTTGTTTTTTGTTTTATATGTTAATGATTGGGGGTGAGGGTTGCATGATCCGTCGAGAAGTATAAAGACGATATCGAATTCGTCACTGAATTCCCATGTTTTTTGGGACACCCTGTACCTGCCTTCTCGGTGAATTGTAGGTTCAAATGTTCATTCTAAACCTAAAAACTAACAAACATAAACATACGGATGATAATGGTTTGTCATATTTTCCTTTTACAGTTTATGGGGCCTTATTTCTGAAATCATAGACAAAGTAAATTCATTAAAAAGCTGAATGATTTATCTTAACCCTCATGGTACCAAGCTATTTTTAGCGTACTAAAGTACTAAGAGAAAGTCAATTTGACCCCTCAGCATTTTTTCATATTTTAGGATTTTTTCTTTCTCTGCATTAAAACTGATTGCTTAAATTTTGATCTATGAAGAAATAAAAATTATATCACTTTTTTTCATCGACTAATATGGCTTTAAATTTTTAGAGTTTCATCAGGGGTCAAATTTATTCAAAATTTTTGAAAATTTAGCGGCAAAATATTTTAAAATATTCTCAGTTTCTCAGGACATATTTCTCTCCCATTGTTATTATAAGATGCAAATATCATGGAGAAATGGGAAGAGAGAAAAAAGAGTGGAAACCTACCTAATACCCACATAATACATAATCTATCTATACATAGATCCACCTATATATGCATTTATTTATTTACCTACCTGTTAATATCTATCTAAGTATATCTGGTGTGACTAAAAATTAGAACAACATGCACCCCAAAAAATATAGTAAACATTCTTAATTTTTAGATTTTTTTCTTAACAAATATCTTGGATTTACAACAGATTACACAGAAAGGACCAGGGCAGTTCCTGTTTGATTTTGGTAATAGTTGTAATCATCAATCATTGAGAAAACGTATTAAAAAAAAGTACTTTCTTAATGTGAAAAGGGACATTGCCGCCGCCCCCCCCCCCTACACTACAAAACCTTCCAGATACAAGCCTGATTATGAGTGTAGCTTACATATTTAAAGCAATTTATCAATTCGAAACCAGTTTTGCACATTCATTGGAAATAAATAATTTTCTGGTAAAATGGTACTTAATGGTATCAGCTGATCCCCCTCCCCCCTTATATAATCAGTAGCTCCGACCTCACTGCAAATCCTGTAGCTATTAACTACCACTATACCAGTTTTATTTTGCACAAAATTTCGCATAAATACAAAATTTAAGTCAGAATTTTTTCATGATATTGCACATGAATACAGGTCATTTTTCCATGTAATTTTTAAATGCCCATGAATACGAAAAATTGAAATTTTTGTACTGCAGAATTGTGCATGAATACGAAAATAAGTAAAATTTGTTGCATTTCATAGTGCATAAATATGAAAGATTTTAATATTTGAACAGTATGGTGTGAATTAGTTTTAGTAAAAAACAACTTCCATCAAACCCTGCGCGTCTCTAAGTTCAGACCGGACTGAAAAGTGATTATGATTAATTAATTAGTGAGTAGCTCTGTTACCACTTGAGATTGATGGCCAGTAAACATTATAGTAGTCGGTATGGTCTGGTGACCTAAAACTTGAGAATTGGGACCCAGTAGGTGCAGGTGTGAGTGGGCCAGGTCTGTCGCTATGATTGGTTTAATTTTAAATTCATTCATCATTTCCTGGAATTGTTTCTCGAAATTTAATGAAATAACAAATAGCTCGAAATAAAGAAATAGCTTGAAATAATGAAATAGCAGGAAATAACAAACTGTGTAAATTCCAAGATTTTCTTCAAAATGTGCGTGAAATAGCTTTTGCACATCAATGCACAATAAGCATGTCACTCTTCTCTAGGCTTATCCCAAGATCTTTTCTTTGAAAAATTCTGGCAAACTATCTTGGGAATATACTGGTATACTGGAGTAGGTTCATCCTAACCTTTTACTTCTGCATGCTATTGCACTCCTTCTTGGGGTTCTCATAGCACTGGTTCCTTAACACCACCTGACACAATTTGCTGTTCATGGTCTCCAACTGGTTCTCTTGTATCATGCCGCAGTCCTGTTCTTGCCGTACACTTTATTCCTGTACATCTTCTTGCTGTACCTGTTCTTGCTGTACATCTTATTTATGTCTACCTCTTGACTCCCTATAACATTGCTATTCCAAGTGTCCTCTCTTTCTTACAACATCAAACTCTCTCTCCAGACGTTTGTCAATCTCTACCCTAAACGAACGATGATAACAACCTGAATACTCAATGGGATACAATTACTCTACACTGTACGGAATTCTGATTCTAACTAGCTATATTTAAGGTTTATACAAAACAAATACAAAAACCTTCCTTGTGGTTATGTTAGGTCCCACACAAAATTTAGGCCTGATCAGTTCAGCCTTTTAGATGTTTATTGGATATAAACAAACAGACAGACAATCAGACAAGTAAAGTATTTACATAGATTATGATTTTGTATCTATATTGCTTTAATACTTTTTTTCTTCTTATCTTGAATTAATCTATCATTATTAATTGTAATATAAACTATTATGGAATATGTGCAAGAAAGTAATATTTACTGAGCTATTTGGTGTACCTTGTAATCTTTCAAACTTTAAATTACTATGCAACATACCTCTGTATTTTTTCTGCATTCCCCCTAATCTATATTTTTCTTTATAATTATATGAACTATTTTTAAAATTTCATGGGGTCTCTAAAAATTGATTATTTGAAAATATTGAAATTCCTTACTGTTATTGGAGGACTTTTGCTGCTAAAAGTGAAATTTTGTTGGAAAAACCCTGACAAGGGGTCATTTTTGTCATTTTTTTAAAAACATAATCTTGAAAAAAAAATTTTTTAATCAAAACATTTTTCAAAAAAAAAAGTTGCACTAAATTTGCAAAGAGGGTTTGTAGGGTGTTTTTTTAGTTAGAGAGTAAAAACAATAACATTGGTCAATTTGACCCCCCTGTTGGTCCTTTGAGGGTTAATAAACACACATTCTTTACTCACGCCTTATTTATTAAACTTTAATAATTTATTTTAATTAAATTTTGCAATATTCTTTAAATATTTATATAATATCAGCCAAAAATATTTTTAAATTTCTATATTTCTTGTTCTTCATTTTGTTCTTGTTCATACATCTTTCAATCTTATTTCATCTAATTTTGAAAAAAAAAAATGTTTTTGATAGCCTTGTAGTATGCCACTTCTACAGAAAAGAAATATGTTTAGAGGATCTTGTTTTTTTCTGAACTTTCTGTGTTGAGTTGAGCTTAGCTGGTTTGCTTTCCTTTTTCTGAACTCTGTATTGTTTGCACATGTGTTATATAACTCAGCGGCAACTCATTTTCTTGAAAATTTTACTCAGGGTAAAATAAACAGAGGGGGGGGGGGACGTTTCTAGCCCCTTCTCTCATGTTGGCATCAATTGTTATTGCAAAATTTGACAATGTAAAGCTTGACATCAAAGATTCCCTTTCATTTATTTTCTGTTAGATTTTCTTTTTTTCTTCTTGTTTATTTTTTCTATGTTTTGAGGCCTCTCCAAATAGTTCTTTTAACATTGAGTTGTTTTATTCCCTTTTATATTACTCTTTTTTGGATACAACATGGGCAACTAAATGCAGTGGTCCCCCAAACTGTAAAGCTGGGACTGCTATAAGAGAGGTCCGTACTCTTCCGAAGGGGGTAAGCAACTGACTCACACCTTATATATATTACATTGCAACATGGAAAATTTTCCCCACAGTTTTCTACTAAAGATTTAATGTGATTTCCTAATTCCCTCTACTTAGATATTTAAGGGTGTATTGTATAGTTTCATTATTTTTCCATTAATATAAGATTTTCAAGCAGGGTGATCAAATTGATAAAGACTGCTTTGGGGAGAAAATGAAGCATGAATTGCATGATGAGCCGGGTGAGTAAATATATATAAATATTCGATTTCTATTCAAATATCAATAGAAATAAGGATTTTTTCTAGATCCTGATGATGGAAGTAGTGATGATGAAAGAGAAGAGGTATATCTACACAATACAATGAGTCCACTGATCTACATATGCCAAACCCAGTCTACAATCTATAAATATTTTAGAATTTAAGACCAACAATTTTATGTTATTTCAACATAATGGATGTGGACAGGGGAGAAGTGAATTGGATGGATGGGGATGGGGAAAGGAGGAAAGCCACCAAGAAGTTAATGTGTAGGGGAGTGGTATTATTTGTAGAAAATTTATACTTACGTCTTTATAGTCCTCTAAATGTAGTATAACTTAACTTGCTATTATTTCTTTCTTATAACTAATATATTTGTTTACTAAGCTACTGCTAAATTCATTGATATTTTTATTTTCTTCTGAAAATAGTTTGAATCATGACTGTGATAATGAAATCAATAAGATTATCAGATATTTTCTACTTTGATGTTTGTTTTCTCTCTGCCAGTGATGGTTCGTCTTTCTAAATTTCTGAAGAGGCTTGAGGTAGAATCCTTTATAATATTATATATAAATCAAAATTACCATTTTTACTTTTTCCTGATGCTTTTTTAAAGAAATATGTATATAAACTGTTTCCCATAGACCAGAGGTCTTGTAAAGTGTGTAATATTTAGTATAATTAAATATTTAATAAATACAGAACTCATTCCATAATTATTAAAATCTAGCAACTAAGATTGCACAACAAGATTTTATGTTTTTATTCAGAATGTTTGATAAAATTAATGAAATTATTAAAATTCAAGCTTAGCTAAATTCCCTTGCCCTATGGTTAGACATATATTGCTATACAAACGGACACTTTAAAAACCTTTACAATTTGACTGACAATTCAGCAGAAAATGGTAAAAAAAGACCAAAACTGTATAAAGGCCAGCCTTGATTTCTAGAAAATGTGTTGCATTTTTTTCAAGGAGAACCCCTACCCAATCCTCCTCCCCCCCCTTTAAATAGTAACTATTTAAACTTATTTACATCTGTTTATGTTCACCCCTTTCTAATAATTTCCTGTTTATTCAGGGCTTGCATGATGATACAGAAACCAGGGGGATATATATTTCCTGTCTAACCCCTAATGTCAAAGGATGTTATGATGAAAAGGGGAATTATATAACCCCAATCTTTAATCTACAGATGAAGGAAATGTTTTCTGAGTTGTCAAAGGAACTTGAGGTAGGGATAGATATTGTCTTTTAAGTTATTGGTTAATACAAAAAGTGTTGTTCTAAAACCTTATAATATTGAAAACAGAAAACTAGGTAAATGTACAGTTTTACCGCATTATTGTCATATTTAAATAAAAAAATTATGGATTGTAATAAATAAAGAATTTGGCTCTAAAATATTCAATTTTCAAAATCCGTTAAAAAAAAGATAAATCTGCTAATATTCGTTAATTTTAGAAGAGGCTGCAGATAGAGCAACAATTGAAAGTTAAAATCAAAATACTGAATTCAGAAATTAAAGGAATAAAATAACTTTTTTAGAAATAAACAAATTATAATTTCTAAAATGACTAAAAAGTCCTGTTTTTAGTCTTAAATTAAACAATACTGAAACACTGGAAAACCTTTCTGTATTATCATTGACCAAAAAGTTTTATGTAAACAATCATGTTTTCTATAGAAGTATTACTTGCAAAGCAGGTTTTGTTTGACAGATAAAAATCTCAATTCAAAATATTAAAAGATTGACCACGTTTTAGAAATCTTTAAACAAGAACCATTTAATGCTACCCAACTCTTTGGAGGCAATATTAAGTTTACAAAGTTTTAGCTACAGTAACTCAGTTCTGCTTACTTCAGGGCCCATGATCTACCAAAGTTCTTCTTTGATTTGTCCCCTGAACTTCACTTCAAACTTTTAATATTAAAACTTATTTTTAAAGAATGAAAGATAGCCAGAATAAAATTTGTTAGAGTGAAATTTTAGTATTACTATGCAGGGATTCAAAAAAATTTTCAAAAATCTAGGATCCACTGAGCTATAACAGTAGTAAAGGACACCCACAAAATTACATGTATGTTGGTCCAGAAAAGTGTAAATTGAATTTCATGTATTGTATCAGCGGGCCGTGTCCGAAATATTAAATTGATTCCTCTTGAATATCTTGTAGCAATAGTTGCAAGGACCAAGTGTTGTATTTAGATTAGCGTTATATCAAACAAAAGTTTTGACCTCTTAGACCAATATAAATTCCAAAACAAAACAAGTTTTTTTTTGTAATACACCTTAAAATATCAAATTCTTTATCTATATTTATAAAGCTGTAATTTCTGTTTGTCTGTTTGGTTGTTTGTCCGATCATAATTCATGAACCCCTGGACCGATTTGCCTCAAATTTTGATTCGGGAACCAACCCCACAGAAATGTTCTTAGCTTGGTTTTAAGATTCTTAATTGAGTGGGTCGACTTTGATAGTGAAAATTTAGTTTCCTGGTTCATTTTAGTGTGGGTAAATGGCGGGAGTATTTTTTAGTAACCTTGGCAGCACTGGGTTCCCAAGCTAGAATACATATATTTAATCTCTGTTTATCTGTCTGTTTGTTTGTCCGATCATAACTCAGTAACCCCTTGATTGATTTATCTCAAATTTTGATTGGGGAACCTGTGATTCCCACGGAAATGTTCTTAGCTTGGTTTTATGATTCTAAGTTGAGTGGGTCAACATTAATGGCAAAAATTTAGTTTTCCGGTAAAATTGTTCAATTGCAGGTATACGGCGAGAGTAATTTTTAGTAACCTGAGCAGCGCTGGGTTCCCAAGCTAGAATATATATATAATTGCTTTTAATAAATTAAAATTATAAGAAACTGAAATTTATATTTAAATTTAGAAATTTATATCATAAAATATTATTTAACTCATTAAACTATAAGTATGTATAGAACTCTGCACCGAAGCAGTTATAATGTGGTCCTTCTCTAGATAAAGACCAAGCAAAAGAATTTGGTGGAGTTCTGGGGTGCTGAGGATATCTGTAGGGAGATGAGAGTTCCTTTAAGAATGGACTATTTCTACACTGTGCTTCCATGGTTCTTAGCAGGTATTAATGCCAACTGCTTAATAATTTAAATTATCTGTATAACTGATATATATGATGTATAACTTAATTTTACCAACAAGGAACAATATTAATAGATTAAAATATTAAGGGCTCAGTAACATAAGACATAATTATAAAATATATAATTAAAAAATACATAATAACAAAAAATATAATTACAAAACATATAAGAGTAGTGTAATTTGGGCCAATGCAGCTAAAATAATAACAATATACACTTTGTTGATTTACTACGATAAAACCCTGTTTTTCTTATATAACATGGGGGTGTTTTCATTTTCGGGATTCTTATCTTTTTTCTCTCCGGGGATAAAAATCACATACCAAGTAACCAACCTCTAACTTTGTCAGAATTTTTGTCTGGAAAAGTGTAGAATTTTCAGGCAGAAATTGAGACTAAAAATTGTTTAATATTTTTATGTTATAAAAAATGTAAAAAAGTGTTGGTTGAACTAAACTTTTTTGAAGGTAGTTATCAGGATATCAGAACAGTTTGGGAGGGTGATGTTGGAGGAGGTCGGTGCCGGGTCCTCAATGTGCAGAGAAAAATCAATACCGGGATAGCAAAACAGGAGGGAGGGCGGAGACTGGATTAGTCAGAGCTGGGATTCAACAACGGAAAGAAGAGTATTAAAATGGTTGACAGAGCGTCAAAAAACTTGATTTTTTTTTTAAGGTAAAATATTGTTTAGAAAGAACAAATTTTTTCGTTTAAACTTATAAGGAAAGGTTTTTGTTCGGGATCGATTTACAATATCAGCCTTGATTGGACGATATTTCCGCATCGACCAATAAGGATTAAGAGGCTGGGAAATACAACTAGGAGTGGAAACTTATTAGCTTAGTAAATTAGAGAACCCGGTTTCGTTTGATTTTTTCTTAAATTACAAACACATGAACGATTTCAACTATTGAACATTTAAATCTAGGCGAAAACAAGACAGATTTAAAAATTATTAATTTTTAGCACGAAAACGGAGAGCATAACTCGAGGTTCGATATCTTGCTTGTTTTAAGTACAAATCGTTAAAACGATTTAACTTAGATAGGTGACAGTTCATCTACCTTTATATTAATAACCAATAATTTTTTTATATTCAATTCATTAGAGAGGGAGAGAAATGAACTTAAAACTTTCATTCAACATTAGTTGTCCAAAATAACTCTTTAATATCAATCAGTTTGAACTAATTATAAAGGAAAATATTTTTAAACTATTCACTGACTGTCCTGTTTTCGGGGACACCCTGTAATTTTCATGTTGTCACCTGAATAAAAAAACTTTGTTTTTTTTATTCAGGCTTAAATGTCATTGGGCAAATGTAGCAGACACTCAATAAGACTAGCCGATGCCACATGGTTAAAGCGGTCAGACTTTAGCTGGAATTTATGTTGAATTGGAGTAAAACTTCGGAGGTCTGGAGTTCTTTATGTTGAAGTTGGAGTAAAAACTCTAGAGATCTAGAGTACTCTATGTAGAGGTTGGAATAGAACTCTGAACATCTGGAGTTCTTAAGGTTGAGGTTGGAGTAGAACTCCGAACATTTGGAGTTCATAAGATTGAGGTTGGAGTAGAATTCTGAAGATTTGGATTTATGTTGACTGTTGAGGATGTAGTAGAAGGGATGTCCTAAATAAAAAATATATGTTATATCCTTTATTTTGTTACACTAATTTTTAACAAATAACTGGAGCTACCAGTCCCCTATCAAATGTAATTTTATAAGCATTGTTTTAATGCTTATAAAATTATATTTGACATTGACACAAGGAGGCATATTGCTTCATTAATTATTATTTTTATTTTAAATTCTGCTAAACTTGTATCAAAGTGTGAAATACAGTTAAAATATTTTGTCCACGATCAAAACACTTTATTTTCACGCCGAGGGGGGGGGG